TGATATTTGGTGGCAGTAGGCTGCTTGGATTTGATTGGTCAAATCTTACCCTCGTAATACAAATCACTGAAAAATATTTGGCTGAATTGAACTGATATAAAGCATTGTCCACAAATCTCTGTTGATTTCGTTTTTCATTAAAAATATTTGGTTGGTTTACTTTTTTTCTTTTGAATAACCAATAAATTATTCATCTATCACAATCACTCCCTTAAGAAATGAAAATTGATGAATGAAAAGTGTATTGCAAACATTTTTAAAATCTTAGACAGATTTCTTTTCTTTTTTTAATGAACTTACATACTTGCATGGTTAGAAGAAGAAATACTAAGACTGCATGTTTGACTCGAACCTTTTCATTAGCAGTTTGTTTAGCTGGGATAGGCTCAAAGAATTGGAATCTGTATTACTATAACTTGGGTACCACTGGCCTATTTAAATCTTAGGAACACATTATGTTTTCTATACCATATATAAGTATAACTGCATGAGATTTTGTACTTATACCAGAGGTGTGATTTGAACCCTCAAGGTCTTATGTCAGTTGCCTCTTGAGTCAGTTAAGTCTGTGAGGATGAAGTGATTAGGCCTTAGTGATTAGACTTTCGGTGGAGATGGGACTGGGCCAGTGTTTGGTTGGAATTTAGGAGCAACTGAGCAACATTGAGATTAAATAAATGCCAAGACAGATTGCACAAAGATTTGTGTGTGTGTGTTGTTAATGCATGATATGTTCACTTCACTAAGAAGAAAAGTGGACAGTTATAAGCCTGATGTTATCTAAAACATGAATCAGAAACATGACTGTTGTAGGAGGGCGTTCTATCACTTGAAAAGCTCTTTCAATAGCATCTGACTTGTCTGAGAAGTGCTATATAAACAAGGCCTAATTGGTTGCATGTTGATTTGATTTATATCAGATTTAAAATCTCCCTTTTTGTCCCTCAGGTCAGTTACACGTGGTTGGATCCCTTCAGCCTGTTGTAGCAGCTCCAGGTGATGATGTCATCCTGCCCTGTCAAGTGGAACCAGCATTTAACGTGGCGAGGTTGACGGTGGAGTGGTCAAAGCCGGACCTCCGTCCTGACCCCAACGACCGGCTCAGCCGAGTGGATTATGTTCATCTTTACAGAGACGCCCACGAGGTCCCCGACATGAAGCTCCCATCGTACATCGGGAGGACGGCGTTGTTCACAGACAGCCTGAGAGAAGGAAACATCTCACTAAGAATCACTAATGTGACACAAGAAGATGAAGGAAGATACAGATGTTTCATCCCGAAGTTAAAGAGTCAAACAAGGTTTTCAATTGTTCGTCTGATTGTTGGTGAGTCAGACTGATAAAATCATTTTTTTCTCAGTTTATTTTTTCTCAAAAGTATTAAAAACCTATAAGACCAATGACTTTAGTTATATCAGCTAATTTATGGATGATAAATACATATTTTAATTTAATTCATTTTGTTCTTTCAGACCCAAGTTTAACTGAAACTGGGACAACAAAGGCACAACTGGATCCTGAAAATTTCCATGTTCCTGATTTAAATGAAGAGATAGATAATAAAGGTGAGAACATGAGACCATCATACACCCAAAACAGAATATGAAAAAGTCTTGAAATCAGCACTTTTTTGCTCTTGGGTCATATGAAACCTACCATAAATGTTGCAAGTGCCTGAGACACTGAACCATTCATATTAATCCAACTTAGCTGAATACATGTGTGGACTACGACACGAGTACATGTATTATGAATGTAAGGCAGCGGTTGTTCTGCGAGATAATGAGCAGACCTCTATGCATGCCAAATTTAATGCAGCTCTCGTCATTGTAAGACTGTCACACAGCTAGATCTAAGCCTGTAACAAAAGCCTTTGCTTTCCACATTGTAGTACAGATGCAGGTCTTTTGCAAATCCATGCGCCAAATCTTTATCTCATCATTGTCAAATAATACAGTTTATCTCCACCTTTGCTGACCTCACAAAAAATGTCCCAAAAAAGTCAACAACAAGATCTGGTGGACTGAAAAAGAAAGTGATTTTATGATTCTACTACTATAAAGACAGTTTCAATATACCAATATAAGATAATTGTTATCTTATATTGGTACTCATAATATGGGTGGATGAGAATGTGAAGTCAGCACATAGCAGTGCTATGTGTTAGCTTATGACATCAGTGTTGTATCTAAAAGTGCAGCAGAGGCTGCCTTATGCTTTATTACATGACTGTACTGAATTATAAAGACATCACAGGAACTAACTTATCGTCTACCAAAGATTAAACTTCATATAATTTCCTTAAGGATTAATAAAGTATTCTGATTATGATGATTAGACATAAAAATTCTATCAATAAAATATTGAAATATAAAAATGTGTAACTTCGTGAGTTTGACAGTTACAGTTGGTCTCATCTCTGTTTGGTTTTTCCTGGCAGGTGGTTCGTCCGAGCGGTGCCGACTGATTCCAGTTGTGGTTCTCTGTGTGTTTATTCTTCTGTGCTTCGCAGTTGGAGGATGTTTGATCACAGAGTCACAAAAAGCAGAAGTATGTTAAAGTCTTAAATATTTGTTTTTATGCATTTACTTCACATTTGAAAGATTTGAAATATCACTGTACACAAAAGTGATTAAAAAAATCTTTCTCCAGCTCAAGAAACTTCCAATCTAATTGCTTTGTGCAAGGGCGCATTGGAACTGTTAACAGAGAAGAGTGCTGCCTACGTACCTGCGGATCTTTCATATGTGTTTGAAGATTCGAAGCATTAACTCTTCCAGCCTCTTCTGGACACAGTGGACGTGTCCCATAATCTGTTTGGACCCAAATGAACTTTAACTCCTGTAAATGATGACCGTGTCTTCAGTGACTGGTCAGCTGATGTCAAGTAGTTTCGAGTGCAGAAACAGGATCCATCATCTGAGCCAAAGTTGAACTCTGGCTTCAGAGTATACGGTTACTTTAAATCTGTTGAAGTGATGTGTTGCAGCACTTTGTGTTTTACATGTCGACACTAAAGCTGAATTTGTTTTTGTTACTTTTATGTTAAGTTATTTTGCTCACAAGGAAAGATTTAGCTCTGTTCACATAACTTTGCACTACATATAACGTGACTTCAGTGTTTTGCATATATACACACTTGCAGGATATATGAAAAACTGAGGATTGGTGGGAACTGAGGGGAGTTTTGTGTTTGTGTTTTTTTTAAAGAGTCAAATCCAGCAGTAATGTATTGAGACAGCCTGGAGCTGTAGGTGCTTTTTCATCTCTTAGTTTTCTTATAATGACACATTGTTTCTGTATCAGTTTTAGGATTTCAGTATTTGGATGTCATTTTAGAGGTATGTTTCCTTTATCAGGAAGAACTTTTCCATCCTCTGAACTCTAAAGTGCTTTTCAGTTACTTAACACTGACAATTAACGGGCTTTTGAGCCACGCAGCTATATTTATGGAGAAAAGAGCCAATATCATCAAAGTTAAATATTCATTGTTCTGTTTATTTGAGCTTCTTCATATTTAAATTCTTAAGAAATTGGTCTTTTTTTTTTAAACGATTGTTCTGATTTTTGAAGTTTGAAACTCTTGTCACTCCTGCATTATCAAATGAATTTATGTGATATTTGAAACAGTGTTTATTCGGTTTCATGCAACAAAAAACAGCCACATAAAGTGCATTTCCAAGTGATTGCAGTGTGTTTGCATCATATATTCAGTGATTAAAATCTGTTCTGGAGTTCAGCTGTTACATCACATGATAGGCATCTTATGTTGTGTTAGCATCAAGGAATCATGGATGAGTAATGTGGGTGAGAATGTGAAGTCAGCACATAGGTCATAGCACTGTGTTAGCTTATGGCATCAGTGTTTTATCTAAAAGTGAGCAGAGGCTGCTTTATGCTTTCTTCTATGACGGTACTGAATTATAAAGATATCACAGAAACTAATTTATCATCTACGAAGAATTATACCTTACATCATAATCTGTAGTAGATTTCATTTTCACTGAAACTGTAAACGTATCTGTTGGGTGAAATTTCACATCCACCGTGCTTCGTCATATTGTTTTCATTTCCTTTCTGTGATTCTGTATAAACTTTATGTTTGCAGCCAATCCAGACATAAATACTAACTGCTTCATCAGGTTCTAATGCTTTCTAATTTGGGCCAAAACTGAATAATGTATATATGTATCCGGAGTTTAGGTGGATCTATTTCTCCAAACATAGGCCGGGGTGTTATTAAAAAGGTATATGTTTATGTGTGTTTGATTTTACCCACTTACTTCACGGGTGAAAAATGTTAAACAGAAAAAAATGTGCACAAAATTTTGGGGGGTTTTTTAGATTTATTTTTTTTAGTTATGAAAGCCACTGGAATTCTTTAATTTTCTTGAAGGTTTGAGATGTGTCTCAAAACTGGATTGTAGGTAGCAAACAGTTAGTGTCTATGTTCAAGGATGGCCTTTCACAGTAGACATAGATGGCCTCTTTCACTCCTCTTTCAAACCATTTGTCTTCCCTGATCTTCTTTTCTGTGCATCTTTGATGATTTGATGAAAGCTCAGATTTCCACATGTTTTAAGAGTTTTCTTTACATGTGTGTGTTCCTTTTCTTTCTCATCTGGCTTAGAGGGAACATTTTTTGCCCAGTGCTGTAGGGTCCTGATTACTCCAAGTTTGTGTTCCAGAGGGTGGTGCTCTGTGTGTGGAGGCTTCTGGTAAACTTCAATGTTGAGGTTTCCATGCTGCTCAATGTGCAAAGCACATTCCAGAAATAGCAAACTGTCATCCTTTGTATCTTCCCCGGGGAACTTTATATTTCTACCCACTGAGTTGATGTGAACAGTAAAGGCTTCTACTTCTTAGGTTTTGATTGTGACCCAGGTATTATCCACATACCTGTAACAGCAGCTTGGTGCTGTCCCTTTAAAAGCCTTTACTTTCCACTTGCTCCATGTAAAGGTTGGCTACAATAGGTAACACGGGGCAGCCTGTGGCAAATCTATGGCCTCATTGTATTTACAATTAATGGTGGTAACACAGAGGTCTAACAGTGTGCATATCTGACTGGGGGTAAAGCTGGATCTTTTTTCTAGGGAGCTGTCTTGCTGTAGTAATTGCTGCTTGAAATCAGGCCAGTACAGAATAATATGGAGTTCAGATGAGAACTTAAAAGACTTACTCCAAATATAGGCTCAGGAGGGTTATTAATAGGCTGTATTGGAATAAATAATGCATTTAATTAGGATAAAGTAAACACCTCTTCTTTTTTTCTTTTTTTTAAATTCGACAATATTGCAGAAAAAATCGTCTTATGATCCCACAAACTGAGTTTGTTCAAGCAGATCAAGTCAAACTCAGATTTTCAGGACAGAGCCATGGAGCATCCACAACTACTGAAGACCGAAGCCTGAGCATACCACTAACCACAACAAACAAGAGAGAAGCTAATCGGGGATCACACAATTTTGTTTTCATTTAAAATGCTTGTTAATTAATTTTTAGTTGAAATTTTTAGCTATATAACAATTTTAGCTATATAATTTAATTGTCACAACAAGTCCTGGGTTACATATGCTCTGCATGATTCAGCTGGTTTGTGTTTATGACAAGTTGCAGAGTGCCCTCTAGTGGACCAGCGATGCAACATCAACACTTATATTTTAAGAGCGTTCCTTCTGTCTCTTCTTTACTCCATTATTATATTTTTCGTTTATTCGCCATTATTATTGTTGATTCCAGTGTAGATTCTGATTGCAGCCAGGCTCTAGTTATTAATACTAAATGGTTTCCTCCCACCAAACAACTCTGAGTATCATATTTACCGCATAAACCCAGAAATGATTAATTAACATTTACTATATTTCATGAAACCTATTCTTTTTCATGTGAGAAGGACAAAGTGAAAGTGAAAATAAAACTCCAATTTTCAACTTTTCTGCATACGTCAGGAAGGAAAAGGCTGAGGGAGGCATGAAGGATGTTACTCAGACTTGTGGGAGATGACTCACACTTGTTGCTGCCAGGAGATGAGGTAGAAGAGGCCCAGACATGACAGCTTTAAGGTGCCTGAGCAGGAACAAAGTGATCGCACCCAACATCCACACTGGACGAGTAAGGCAGAGCTCTGAATTTTGTGGCATTGCAATGTGTAGGAAAGGAAATAAGAACACCTAGACACACACAAGTAGAGTACATAATCAGATCATTTCTATTCAAGTCACTTTTATTTATATAGCGCCAAATCACAACAACAGTGGCTGTAATGGAGGAGGTCACTTTAAGAGGGATGGACTTGACCTCCTGACTATGACTGATGTAGATGATAAGGTGCTGACTCTATGAATCCACAATCT